ATCTTCTGTAACCATAGGCTAATTTTCTCCGTTTTGAGTCCCTTATACTCCCCCTTCTGTCCAGCATAAGGCTTCATACTCTAAAATCGAATAAACTCGGAACTGGTGACTAGGACGGCCATTCATTCGAACAACCCTTTACAGTTTTTATTTTTTTTTTTTGTAATTTTTTATACGATGCCTAAGAAAAAAAAAAAAACCTGAAAAAGACTTGCGTGCTAAGTGAACTTTTCTCTCAAAGTTTTACTGCTGGCAAATGGAAATAAGGATTACAATTTAAAAACTAATTAATACAACTAAAGTAAAATCTGTGGAAAATTAACAATAAAATAGTTTTTTCACAAAAGCTATAAAGGACCTTTTTATTTCTCAAAAAAGACCTGGGTAACAGTTATTCGTCGCCACGCTGTATACATATCGTCGTTTAAAGTACAAAACCGCGCATAAAGAAAATGCAAAATCTCGTTAATTTTATAGGAGAGATTAAAACTTGTTTTATTTCAAAACGGTTGTTTCTTTTATCCATAATTATACCTTCTTGTTATGACTAAGTATCGATATTTTAGTATGAATGGATCAGGGCTTTGTGGCAGGAGCTTCCTCCGGTGAGCAAATATCTTTTTTGGCACAAAAGTCAGTGACGAGGTTTTTCAGAACCACGATATGCGGTTGTGTACTTTAAACGGCGATATGTACATATATTGTATGACCGCTGTGGTGTAGTGGTTAGCAGTGAGCCTTACCATTCAGCGGGCCTTGGTTCGAGCCCAGGTTCTGACCAACATCAAAAAATAAAACATAAAAAGGTTTTTTCTAATAGCGGCCTCGGTAGGCAGTATTTCTGTCATGAAACAAAGCTTATGATAAAAATATGTTAGCTCAATAAATAGGGGTAAGCTTACAAAAATTCGCATAAAGCTGAAAAATGGCACGAGTGTTGCGAACACCATTATGAATGAAATGTCAAAGTGCCCATCGATCCCATGTCTGCAAAAATATTTATTCAAGGTCAAAGGTCACATAAATTTCTTTTTGGCATTTTTCAGCCAAATGGTGCGGTTTATCATAAAAATAGGCGAGACTAAAGTGTAGATCATACAATTACCTATAAAAACTGTTGCAACGTTTTTCTTCCTAAGGATTACCATTTCTGAGACATAGTGATTCAAAATTGTTGTAAAAGGTGTGTTCTCCATAGTATGCAAAACATAAGTTTGTGTAGACATTTTTGTATGTATCTCTACTTAGGTACTCATAACTTCTACATTTAATATTCAATTTATATGGGCAGGGCTTTATTGTATTTATGAAAGATCATGCTTTGACGTGCAAGAATCCAAAAGTTGACAGGTTCTTCATATTAATATTTTTTACCGAAAGTATTTTTTTATTTATTTTTTTTAATTATGCAAAATTGTCGATGAATCAATGATTAGCTCCTAAACTACTAATCCGGTTGCAAAATATCGTTTACGTAGAAGATAGTAAATTTAATAAGTTTCACTACTGTGGAAAAAAATTTAAGATTCACCAGCTATACGGTCCAAAATTTGGGTTTAATTTTTAAACCGCGTTGGGACTACTGCCCTTTTAATCTTTTATAGTCAATAGTTTTAAGCAATTTTTAATATCCCTGCAGGGAAAGCTACTAGTTATGAACTAGAATTCTACCGGTTTGCGTTTCAGCCGAACTAGTTCACGTTTTATCCTTTTTCAATGTTAGCGACTGGTATTTTTAACATTGCGATGTCCTACGAGATGTCAATTGTGAGGCTATGCATCAGCAACTACTAGTATAAATACTAGTAGTATCATATCAGTTGATGAGATAGTCTGCCAATTCATGCCCCGTGAAAAGCATAAGTGTGCCTTTTTGCTCGCGACGCTCCAACAGTCACAATGGGCGACAGAGCAGAGCACTCGCATGGTTAGCCTGAGGTCCCAGGTTCAAATCCTGGCACAGGGAAAATTTTTTTTATTTTCAATTTTTATTTTATTTTTATTTTTAATAAATTTATTTTTTTGTTTATGCTGTTTATTGTAATTTTTAAATTTAATAAAAAAATATTTTTGTTTAATTTCTTTGTTTTTATATTTCTTTCTAAATGTTTTTTTTGCAATGCAATTCGATTTTCAAATTTGTTATTTATTTATAAATTGAATAAATTATTTTTACTTACATTTATTTAACTTTAAAAATCTTAACCACCTCCAAGCGGCCTCGAACCTGCGATTTCAGAACCAGAACCAGCAGTCTTCACGTGACGCCACAGCCGACATTGGTGAGAAAAGCAATTAATTGCGTTTTATTTTTGGCTTTGGCACTTCAAAGGCAGATGTCGCTGATCGCCTAAGTTCTTTGAGATTGTCGAACTGGTAGGCACATACACTGGTTTGGCTTTTCACTGCAGGGATATTCTGGTTTAAATTTTAGTCCAAAAAGTTCGTGGTATAAAAATCAAACCAAAATGTTTTAATTATAATTTCATATATAGAAAATTTGGTTTGGTTATTGATTCAAACTGAACATACTCGTATGAAAGCACATTTACATGCGTGGCTGTAGCTGAGTGTGCAAAGATGATTGATACAATTGGTTGCTACCAAGTTTACCGGGTTCAATCCCCATCGGACGGAGCATGAAATTTAAGATTTTTTATTCTTTATTATGAAAATGTTTGGGTTTAAAATTTAAACCGAACTGCTTAAATTCTAAACCCAAGATATGTTCTCTCTTTTTTTATACCCGAGCGCACTTGTGCACAAGGGTATTATAACTTTGTTCACATAACGGTTGTTTGTAACAGGCAAAACGAATCGAGATAGATATAGACAAATGTATACATAAATGATCAGGATGAAAAGAGAAATCGATTAAGCGGTGACTGTCTGTCCGTCCGTCCGTCCGTCCGTCTGTCCGTCTGTGCACACGATAACTCGAGTAAATATTAAGATATCTTAACGAAACTTGGTACGTGTACTTCTTTCGGGCGTAGGACGGATGGTATTGAAAATAGGCAAAATCGGACAATAGCCACGCCTGCCTCCCATATAACGGTAATTTTCAGAAATACGAAAACTGCGATATTTTAGTAACTACTGAAGATTATTCACTCAAAATTGATATTTGCAATAACTTTTAGACGAAAAATAAGAATATTATAAATTTTTGAAAAATGGGCGTAGCCACGCCCACTTATGGTTACATGTGTATATCTTGGCAACCGCTGCACCGATTTCTTCCAGACTTGGCACAGTTATTGGCCTTGGTACCAGGATAACATTTTGGAAAATGGGCGTGGCACCGCCCACTTATGATCACATATATGTATCTCGGTAACCGTTCCACCAATTTGTACCAAACTCGGTATGGTTATTGTGCTTGCCACATAAAAGCAAAACGTTCAAAATTACTGAAATCGGACTAAAATTACGGCTTTTCATATAACGGTAAATTTTAGAAATGCTTGAAACGTCAATATTTCGAAATTTAAGGACGCTTATTTATTCAAAATTGATACACCCCGGCTTACCATGTAGCGGTAGCTTTCGGAAAGGTGAAAAGCCATATATGTAATACTTGCGCCGGGTATTTAATGTTCGGCCCCGCCCGAACTTAGACTTTCTTACTTGTTAAACTTGGAAGGTTTGTATTTGAAACTGAATTTAGTTTGGTCATATATGTAGTACAAAGAGTTTAAAATTAAAACCTAAATTTTGAACAGTATATGTACATATATAAAAAAAAATGCACCGCGGCGATCACTTCCAATGGTATTATTTTTTTTCTGCAATATTATTTAGTTAAATAGGACTACAATAAGTCGTGCAGTAGGCCTACCCGGGAAGACAGGTTAAAAAACGTAACAAAAACATTACCCCACAAGTACAGTGTAAATAAAATTGTGCATATTTTCGAGAACACAATTTTTTGAATCGCTATATCTCAGATATGGTAATCCTTAGGCAGAAAAATGTTATGACCGTTTTTATAGATAATTGCATAATCTACACTTTTGTATCACCTATTTTTGTGATAAACGTTACCATTTTGCCGAAAAATGCAAAGATTAAATTTATGTGACCTTGAATATATTTGTTTGAAGACGTGAGATTGATGGGGACTTTTGACATTTCATTTATAATGGTATTTGCAACAGTCGTATCAGCCTTATGCGAATTATTGTAACCTTGAATGTCTAACTTGACCGGGCTATATGTACATATGTACGTACCCCTATGAACCGAGTGTAGTAGAGATCAATAAACGATTACTGAGTGTATAGTAGTTTAGCCGATTGTGACTATTTTAAATATTAGCCTACCTCGGAACTGGGGCAATATACTTGCCAAGTTTCAGTAAAATACATACCATAATAGATTGGCGCTTATACATGAGTTAGTGTTTGGCCGAGTTTCTTTTCCGATTTGGGGCGAGCGCCTTGATGTTGCCACACAAACGGCGACATACATATAACTTTTAATTAGATTTGTAATGGGCAGCGGGTTGATTTTTCTCTTTATTCGGAACATTTGCATGCACATTTGTCTATACATATTTATTAAATATGTTCAAATCCTTTCTGTTTGCGTATGAATTGTACTATCACTTTTAAATCACCAACTTTTTCGCATAATAATATTGCACATTTTTATCAAATATGTACTTGCGCATAATTTATTATTTTTCCATTACCTCTGTAAGTATTCACCATCGCGAATACAAATGGGAATTATGTATAAAAAATAAGGAATGCATACGCTTAGGCTATTCACTCTTTGAATAAGCGTATTTCTTTTAGTTAGCTTCTATCGTTCACTTCATTCCATTCGTTATTCTTCCGTTTCCAAAATGTGTATGGCCTTCAACTTAAGACATACGTATCTACGTACATGTAAATAAGTAGTATTTCTTTTTGACTGTGGTGCTGCAAATGGCAGTAGCCTTGGTATTGTGCTGCACTTTTATATTTATAACTGCTTATTATTATAAATCACAGGAAATCGTCATTATTAAAGCTGAAGGCGAACGGCTGGGAATGCACATTAAGGGCGGTCTTAATGGCCAACGTGGCAATCCAGTTGATCCCACCGATGAGGGCGTTTTTGTGTCAAAAATTAATTCAGTCGGTGCAGCAAGGCGTGACGGAAGGCTGAAGGTATGTATTGTGTTGTCATAAGAAATGTGGAGCAACAGTTTTCAATGAGTCAGAGAGTTTTCAAAAAGTCATTTGTTTACGAAAATAGGCGCAAAATCGAAATTATGTAATTTGAGATTCCAAAATGATTTGTGACTGCGTTTCCATTGCTAAATCTTTTTATTTACGTAGATTTGTTAATTTTCATTTGAACTAATTGTTGGTCTTTGTTACTGTGCTTGCTTTAGGTTGGCATGCGATTACTGGAAGTCAATGGGAATTCACTGTTGGGAGCCTCGCATCAGGATGCCGTGAACATTCTGCGTAATGCTGGCAACGAAATTCATATGATCGTGTGTAAAGGCTACGACAAATCCAATTTAATTCATTCCATTGGTGCAGCCGGGGGTATGAGCACTGGCTTCCACGCGCCAAGCAGTCGGCATGGTATGTATGCAACAAGAGGTGCTATGTTATACCAAATTAAAACGCTACTCTACTCGTACATTTCATATGAATAACGCCCGTATCTTTATTTTCGAAAAAATATATATATTAATGCGAAAATAAAGGAATTACTGGTACTATGTGTACTTGTTTTACACCCCGCTACTAAATGCCATGGTTTAACAAAAACCAGGTAAATCCAAATTTCTAACTTTGTACAAAAATTAGAAAAATTCAAAAAAGGTGCAGACCGTCCATATGCTAGTTTAAAGTATCTACAAAATGCCGTTGATTTTTGACAATTTTCTTTTTGCTGGCGGTGTCACGCACTGTTTTCCATACACAGTTACTATGATCGACAATTTTTTTTTGTATGGAAGAAAATAGATAATAACACCGCCGAAAAAAAAATTCGAAACTCAATGCGAAATCTTAGCCTCTTGAGGCACTATTACTTAAATTTAATGGGGTACAACCAGGGCTGCCAACTGTCCTTCGCTATGAGGTGCCATATTGAGGATAAAAAAGTGCCAAAATGTGCCAAATAGAAAAACTAACGGGCCAAAAAAGGTGCCATCCTTTGTAATCCCTCCCATTTAGCAATAAAATAAGAAACACATTTCTAAAACATAAGTCCAATGCCAAAATAAGATAAACCAGTTGAATAACCTTTAGAAATTAGACAATTTTAGTTGAGAAAAAGAAGTAGACACCAAGGATTTCACTTTTTAAGTCCCGAAAATCCCGGGATTATTTGCCAAGAATCCCGGGACATTCGGGATTGGTAATTTGCAATAGTGGCAATAATAGAATGCCTTATGTTGAACAGTTTTCGCTATATTTCTTTTGTTTAATATTTAATATTTTTTTTTATATGTGAGACATTCTTTTTAATATCGGACATCAAATTTGATGTCACACTTTCGATTAACTTAAAAATTTTTGTTAGGTTTGCAAATCGATAAATAAAGAAACCACAATATATAAATATGGATATCAAAATCGATAAATATCGATAACAAAATCGATAAATATTGATACCCAAATCGATAAATATCGATATCAAAATCGATAAATATCGAAAAAATCTATAAGAAAATCTACAAATATCGATAGCAATATCGATAACAAAATCGATAAATATGGATAACCAAATAGATAAATATCGATAGTTATCGATAACAAAATCGATTTTGTTATCGATATTTACCTATTTGGTTATCGATATTTATCTATTTTGTTATCGATATTGCTATCGATATTTGTAGATTTTGTTATAGATTTTTTTTTCGATATTTATCTATTTTGTTATCGATATTTATCTATTTGGATATCGATACTAATCGATATTGCTATCGATATTTGTAAATTTTGTTATAGATTTTTTTTTTGATATTTATCGATTTTATTATCGATATTTATCGATTTGGGTATCAATGTTTATCGATTTTGTTATCGATATTTATCGATTTTGTTATCGATATTTATCGATTTTGTTATCGATATTTATCGATTTTGTTATC